GCACTCCTTCAGAGATCCCCCTCCACGTCTTCACACACACGCAATGCCACCCACCGGCGTTTCCATCCAGAGGCACTCATCACACAGAAGCCGGCTCCAGCTGTCACGGAGCCCAAAACCAAGTGGGGTGACAGAAAGGAAAATAAGATCTTGGGACCCCAAACTCACTGCCAAAGGGAAAAGCTAAGCTTAGAAACTGACTCTCTGTCTCTCTCTCTCTCTCTCTCTCTCACGCACACGCGCGCGCGCGCACACACACACACACACACACACACACACACACACACACAACCTGCCTTTCCTTTTGTCCTTAAGCAAACAGCTGCAAGATAGAAAGCCACATGTCACTCCAGGGGGCCTCCCTCACCGAGCAATGTAAATGAACAACAAATCAGCCATCCACGGTGGCTCACGCCTGTCATCCCAGCACTTTGGGAGGCCGAGGCAGGTGGATCACCTGAGGTCAGGAGTTCGAGACCTGCCTGGCCAACATGGTGAAACCCCACCTCTACTAAAAATACAAAAATTAGCCGGGTGTGGTGGCGCATGCCTGAAATACCAGCTACTCAGGAGGCTGAGGCAGGAGAATCACTTGAACCCGGGATGCGGAGGTTGCGGTGAGTTGAGATACACCACTGCACTCCAGCCTGGGTCACAGAGTGAGGCTCCATCTCAAAAAAACAAAAACGAAAAAATACAAATGAACTGTTCCTCTGCCCCCGGCTTTCACCCGCAACCTGGAGAGCAGTGGGCACCGATCACAGCCTCACAGGAAGGCGACCCTCCTACCTTGCTTCCTTTCCTCCTTCCCCTCTGGCCACTTCTTTATGTAAATATTGAAGCCCCCAAACCCTCTTTGGAAAAGGCGTGGGCCGCACACCCTGCGTGGCTGCATCTCCTTTTTCCCTGCACGGCTTCAACCTTGGCAAAGGCAACCGCGCAACTGCTGAGAGCTGTCCCAGTCGCTCTGCGGGAAGGGTCTCCCCTGGCTCGGGGAAGATCTCCCAAGAGGAGCGGCCAGGGAGCCACACAGGGAGGCCTGGAGCCAGGCCAGGGCAAAGGGCACGGTGGCAGTGGAAGTTGGAGGAGGAGCCTAAGGCCCCAGTGGGGGGAGCAGATGCTACATACCCCGGGAGCACTGTGGACCACGCCCTGGGAGAGGCGGGAACCAGGGCTGAGGGCAGAGGACCAGCTGCACGTTGGAATGTGGGGCCTGGGCACAGAGAAGTCAGGCAGCAAGCTCATGGCAGCCCAGCCAGAGAGTCAAGGCTGGGAGACATCCTACCTCCCACCAGAGCCAGCAGCCGGGTCCCGCCCAGCCTGCCCCGTCCCGACCCAGGCTGCCCCGTGCTGCCATTTTGACTCCCCGTCAGCCCCCCTGGCTGGCTCAAGGGTCCCTGCCTTCCAGGAGACACAGGCAGCAGCAGCAGGGGCTGGGTGGAGGGGTGAGGGCCAGAATCAGGGACGCTCCCGACAGAGCCCTGACTAGTAGCCAGAGAAAGATCAGGCCGGGACAGGGCCCACGCCCATGGCCACTGGCAGATCTCCGGTGGCTGACCCGTCCTAGGAGCACACAAGCCAGGTGAGGCTGCTTCCTCTTGAACCCAGAAGCCAGTGCACAGCTCATCTGTGGCCTCAACTCCCGGCCCCAGCAAGTGAGGGGCTCCGTGAGGCCACCGGCCCGGACTTCACGGGGCAGCAGCGTCTGGCTTTCCAGCTCCCGATGCTGCTTGCTGGGCCAGGCCTTCGACCGGGTCCCTCTGACGGCACTCACGCCTGAGTCCAGACCCAGGACGGAACTGGGCAGCAGCCCACAGCAAACGTGCCCCCCAAACGCCACGTGCGCCTAACGCAGTCCTGACGGCAACGTTCTCTTGAGTGTGGGTGGAGCGGGCGTCGTGAAGCTTGCGCCCTCTCCCTCGGAGGGCCGCCACTGGCTTGGCCCTTCTGTCCCACGGGACTTCTCCCCACAGACCCCACCGGCCTCCTCCTGCCATCTCAGAGAAGCTACCCGGACGGAAGTCCTCCACAACTGGGCCAAACGCCTCTTAGGCATGGGACTGTCTCTGCCCCTGTTCTGGACCGGAGGTTGCCTGAGTTAAAAACTTAAAAATTAAAAAGCAAAGGCCTCCACGTCCGGCAGGCCTACCTAGTCTCGTGACTGCTGTGCTTCTGTGCTCGGGAGGGCTGCTGTGTGAGGAGGAGGGAGTGGTGTGGGCTTAGAGGTGGCACTGGTCCAGCCCCGGCTTGTGACTCCCTCGGCCCTTGTTACAGTTACGGGTAGAAACAGAATCTCTGACGTCTCCTGCTCCCCTTTCACCTGCCCCAAGGCAGGACTCATCCTCCCCCTCTTTCTGATCACCGGCCACCTTCATAGCGGATCCGTGCCCCGCCCTGGGGGAAGGAATGCTGAGCACACAGGGGTTCCTGGCAGGGCCCTTCCCGGAACCTCGCCGGTGCCCCTTCCTCTGTGCCCCTCTATCATTCACGGTAAATGGGCTTCCCTGAGTTCCCCAAGCCACTCTTGCAAATCAGCTGAATGCAAAACGGGGAGGCGTTGCAGTATTGCTGGAAAACAGGATCCCGATCCAGACCCTAAGGGCGAGCTGATCCTAAGGGCAAGTTCTTGGCTGTCGAGCAGGAGGGAATTTGGGGTGAGCCACAGAGCACAGTGAGAGAAGCAGGTTTATTAGAAACGACTCCATCAGAGTGGGGCATGCTTAGAAAGCAGGAGGAGGCACAGCCGCCGTCTGTGAGTGGGAGCCACGGTTACCCCTGGAACGTGCAGATGCGCTCACTAAAGATGGGGGCTGTGGGTCCCATCACTGCAGCTCATCCTCCAACCTCAGCCTGCTCATTGACATAATCTCTGAGTAGAGTGGGCTGTGCTCTCGGGACATCTGGACAGTCTGCAGGCTTGCTGGGAGATGCCCCATATGGCCGTAAATGTTCTGTAATTATAACTGGTGGCCAGCTTGAAGCATGGCTATTCTTAGACCATAAGCATTAACCTTACAGGTGCCTGTGAGTGCCTCCGACCCACTTCAGGATGGAGTCACTCTGGTCATGCTCCATTAAACCAGAGGCCTGGTGAGCAGGGGTTCCTCTAACAACAAGAGGAACCTCACTGTGGACCCAGCCGGTGAAAAGCGCTAGAGGCTGGGCTCTCAGCTGGTGTGTGTGAGGGGGAGGGGTCTTGGGGCTGAGCCCTCACCCTGTGGGACCTGACGCTATCTCCAGGTACTGTGTGGAAATGGTGTTGGAGGACACCCGGCCCGTGTCTGCCACAGAACTGAGGGCTCGCTCAGGGTGGGGAAACACCCATCCCCCACATTTGGCCCCAACAGTCTTGGGAGTCTCCTGTGTTGATGTCTTCTGTGTTGTGTTGGGTGAGAGACAGGAAAAAATGATTTCAGAGTTTTTCCCAAACAGCCCCCTCCTGATGCAGCGTGTTTTCCAATCCGAGAGTCCTGTCCTGAAGGGGACAAAGCCCACCCATGCTCTCATCCCACAACTCTTACTGAGCCCCTGCCATGGCAGGGATGGCCCCTGGTGCTGCCTGCACAGACAGAGCCCCGTGCCCTCACCACCAGCATTCCAGAGGGGAGGATACTCTGGAATCAAAAGAGAATGCAGGTGGGACGTGTGCGCCCATCAGGACAAAAATCTGCCAAATTTCCTTCCAGGTGTAGGAAGGTGGGGTGGGGCGGGAACTCCCGGACAGTCAGGAAGAGCTGAGCTCCCCAATCAGGGCCAGCCTAAAGTTCAGCACAGGCGCAAGAAAAAATGCTCCCAGGACGGAAACAGACAGCCCAGCCTGTGCCCCAGGTAAGACTCAGAGGCAGGGACCCCCCAGGCCACAGCCTACTGGATGCCTCCTGACCCCAGAGACAGCTGGGGCATCGCCCCCAAAGCTATGGAAGCCCCACCCACGACGCCATCATACCACAGCCAGGACATCTCGTGACACAGAGCGCCAGCCTCAGCCTCCAAACACCCACTCATGCAAGACAAACAGCCACACTGAAGGCACCCCCAGATTCGAGACGAGGTGTGACAGGAGTCTCTTCGCCCCAGCCCTCTCCTGGCCACCTACCCTCCCTCGAATCTCCCCACCCCCTCCCCCCCCACATCCCCCCACCCCTCCCCCCACCCCCATGTGGGATTCAGAAGCCTCCTGCCTGACACTCGCCCTCGCTGTCACCCAGAAAGGAAATGCACTGTCAACTGGAGAACAGACAGGTGGCAGAGCCCCAGGGCCCACAACCCCTCAGAGAGGGCCTGGCGGTAGGAGAGGCACCCACAAGCCGGTCAGGCCAGACAGGGAAGGGCCGTCTGCCTAGAAGGCGCCCCAGCCTGCGAAGATGGACTGGAAGCAGATACCGCCAGGTGTCCTGGCCAAACCAGTGCCCTGGCGGAAGCCAAAACCCACCACCTCCCAACCCCTGCCGGTCTCCCTGCTCTAGCCTGGGGGATGGCCAAGGAGCAGCCCAGCCTGGGGCGGGAGCAGGGACAAGATGACCTCAGGAAGCCCAGGCTGGGGGGTGCCGGCGTCCTCCCCTCCCCCGCCCCACTCTGCAGGCGAGACCCCCAATCAACACTGCTCCGCCGATCCTCCCCGGGGCTCACACCCCAAACACGTCTGCTCACCCGTGAGCCTCCGGCCCCTGAGCGCAACCAGGACTAGCCGCGTCCAGGCGTCAGCGACTGTCACCCCGACCTGGTCCCCTGCCCGGCCTCGCCAGGTCTGCCCCGCCGCGCGCACAGCAGGGCCGGGTGGAAGGAGGCCGGGCCTGGCCGTGGCTCAGGCGCCACCTTTCTGGGGGGTTTGGGGGTGGTCTCAGCCCCTCTCTGGGCTTCGGCCTCCCCATCAGTCCCCCAGAGCCGGGGCAGGCCTGGGGACGCCCACCGCGGGCTCCAACCCCGCCCCCGGAGGCCCCGCCCCGCCCCCCGGAGGCCCCGCCCTGCCCCGCCCCTCCCGGAGGCCCCGCCCCGCCCCGCCCCCGGGCCGCGCGGGCTGCCTGGGAGTCGCGGGTCCAGCGGCGTTCAGAGCGCGCGAGGCTCCGGGAGCGCGGCGAGGCTGCAGGCGCCTGCGTCCACGGCGGTGAGTCCGGGGCCCCGTCAGCTGCCCGCACGCGCTCGGACCCGCGGCCTCGGCTGCGGTGCTCCCTGCGGGGGCCGGGGCGGGCGCAGGTGGGAGCCGGCGGGAGGGGCGCGGGGAGGCGCCGGAGAGGGGCTGGCGGCTGCGGGTGGGCCCGACCCCGGGGAGCGGGGCTTCTCCTCCCATCCCCCCGGGCCTCCCCGGATTTTCCCAAAGATCTGGAGCGGGAGCGGGAGCGGGCGGAGGCTGCCGCCAGGAGCCTCCCGGCCGGCCCAGGGCTGCGCAACCACCCGGGCCCATCGCCCAACTCCAGACGCCCCTGGCCCCCACGTGGGCAGGAGGGACAGCCCCTCGGACTCGGGGAGAGGGCACGGGGTCTCGCGGAGCTCCTGGCCGGAAGGGGAGGACCGGGGCGCTGGAACTCACCGCCGATTCCTGTTCTGGCACCGGTGGTGCCTGCGGTGAAGTCCTAGGAGTACGACCTTCTGGGGGGTCCGCCGGGCTCCCCCCACCATTCCGGGACACAGGAGAGGCTCCCGCCTCTGGCTGGCTGAGCAGCTCCTAGATACCTGGCTCCAGGGGCAGCCTTCCCTGAGCCTGGGGATGAGCCTGCAGCCTGGGCCCCAGGGGCGCCCGCCACAGTCTGCCGGCTTCCTCGGGGCTTCCTGGCCCAGCCAGCCTTCCTGACTGCCTTCCACTCCCACCGGTGCCTTAGCTCAGCCTCGTGGCCCGGTGGGTTGGGTGCCACCCAGTGGGCAGGTGGTGGCACCAGCTGGACCTGTTCGTGGCCCTGCATGCCAGGACTTCCTCAGAGACAGCTCAGGTTCCCCCACACCAGAACGTCACTTCATGCGGGAGAAACTGGAAATCTGTCCTCCTCAGACTCCTCCCTGAAGGTGGGGACAGGCCCCAGCAGGACTTGGCACTGTTCTTGGCCCTCTAGGGCTCACACTTGCACCCCAGGATGGCAGTCAGGTCTCCGGGGCTTCACCGGCCGTTTTCCTCTTAAAGCCTCTGCCCGGGCCTCTCTGGATCCGTTCTCTTGAGGTACCTTCCTTTCCCTTTTCCTCCAGTGCCCAGCACTAGCTCCTCAGGCCCCAGAATGTCCCTCCCCCTCCTCTGCCCACGGCTGTCCCTGGCAGAAGGCAGCAGCCTCCCCCTCCAACACCAGGCACTCACGAAATAGAGAATCACGACCCCAGCTGGGCGTGTTCCAGATTCTTTGCCCAACAGTGCCATGGGTCCCTGGCCAAGGGAGGGTCCTGTGCAGAGGCCGAGGGGCAGTGCTCAGACCCATCTGGCCCCTTCCTGCTGGTTTCTCAGTGCCCATTTCCCAGCCACAGGGGGAGTAGCAGATTGCTAGTGGCTGCTGGCCTCAGTACCGAGCCACATTTGGAATGGGGAGTGCTTTCCCTGGGTCATGCCCCCACCCAGCCCCAGGTCTCCATTGCAGGGTCCAGCCCTACTAGGGTTGTGGGGTGTCCCCTATCACTGTGCTGAGGTGCTGGATCCGAGAAATAAGGAGAACACACCAAAGGACTGGATGAGAGCAGCTGGGCTCGGGGGCCAACGCCACTTAGAATCGGAGTCAGGCGAGGCCCCGAGCGTCCAGGCACGGGGAGGGGTAGTGAGTGAGGTCATCTTAAGCCAAGCGCAGTGGCTCACGCCTGTAATCCCAGCTCTTTGGGAGGGCGAGGCGGGTGGATCACGAGGTCAATAGATCGACACCATCCTGGTCAACATGGTGAAACCCCGTCTCTACTGAAAATACAAAAAACTAGCTGGGCATGGTGGTGCGTGCCTGTAATCCCAGCTACTCAGGAGGCTGAGGCAGGAGAATTGCCTGAACCCAGGAGGCGGAGGTTGCGGTGAGCCGAGATGGCGCCATTGCACTCCAGCCTGGGTAACAAGAGCGAAACTCTGTCTCAGGAAAAAAAAAAAAAAAAAAAAAAAAGGATAGTGATAGGGTCAAGACAATCATGTGAGTGATAAACAAGGGGCTCACCCCCATTAGGTCACCGAGGCTAGGAGGTGGGCAGTGTGCATCGTGCCACATCTCCTATCTAGGGGCAGGCAGCTCCTAAGGCTTTCTATAGGAAGATGTCTTGAGTCAGCACAGTAGCCAGAGAGCTGACAGGGCACACAGCCACCGAGGCTCGATCACACCGGAGGGCCAGCCTGAGGCCAGCTTTCCACAATACTGAACGCTGCGGCCTGGGCCGGTCTGCCGTGTAGCGCATGCCCTTTCAGGCAGGGGCACTACCACCTGAGCCATTGACTCTTACCCTGGTGTGGCTGTTTTCCCTAGTTCATGCTGTGCAGCATGTCCACTCCTGACACTCCTCCAACCACAAACTAAGATACGATTATGTTGTGGTACGCGAGCGAGTCAAGGAATGCGCCACGCTCTGAGATTCAATTATGCATCCTTTATTATGCCAGCCCCCGAGAGTGGCTAATGCCCAAAATTCTCTCGGCCCCTAAGAAAAAGTGAGGTGGTCTTTTACACCCTAGTTTTAAAAGGGAGGGGGAACCTAGCTGAAGCCAATTTTTCACAAAAGCAGAGTAAGCAAAAAGTTAAAAGATAAACTGGTACATGAGAAATAAACCAGAGCCAGGTGCGCAGGGTAGTCATGAAAGACACGCAGCTTACAGACCCCGGGGGCTCTGGGCGCTGACGGCACCCGCATCCCCAGGCTCTGCTGGTACCACTTAACTCAGCTTCTTATCAGCAAACGCATTCCTGGAGGTGCCCCCGGTCAGCCTGCCCCTGCTGCATACTACAGTTACATACTCAATGGTGGGAAAATAACTAAAATGAAGAAGCTAGATGGAGTCTGTCCGGCTCAGGAAGCGAAAGCCTGCACAGCGTTTAGTCTGAGAGAGTTTTACCTGGCAAAAAGCAGGTTGTCACAATATACAAGGATTATATAAAAGGAAGTAGGGGGCCGGGCGCGGTGGCTCAAGCCTGTAATCCCAGCACTTTGGGAGGCCGAGGAGGGTGGATCACGAGGTCAAGAGATCGAGACCATCCTGGTCAACATGGTGAAACCCCGTCTCTACTAAAAATACAAAAAATTAGCTGGGCATGGTGGCGCGTGCCTGTAATCCCAGCTACTCAGGAAGCTGAGGCAGGAGAATTGCCTGAGCCCAGGAGGCGGAGGTTGCGGTGAGCCGAGATCGCGCCATTGCACTCCAGCCTGGGTAACAAGAGCGAAACTCCGTCTTAAAAAAAAAAAAAAAAAGAAGTAAGTGAGCAGTCAGTTCTTCTTGAGGCGCTAATTGTGCCGCGGCCTGCTTAGCTCTCCTTCCTCGGTGTCCAGAAGGGGGGTTACCCACACATCATGTCAGGGGAGCTGCCTGGGCTCAAGACACCGAGCCACCTCATGGAAAGTTCTAGATACAGATTAGCTAATATACACAGAAACACACACGTATGGGTGTGTGTGTGTGTGTGTGTTTATGTATATATATGTGTGTATCTTTTTTGAGACAGTCTCACTCTGTTGCCCAGGCTGCAGTGCAGTGGCATGATCATAATTCACTGCAACCTTGAGCTCCTTGGCTCAAGAGAGTGTCCCACCTCAGCCTCCCAAGTAGCTGACCCCAGGCACGTACCACCGTACCCAGCTAATTTTTCTATTTTTTGCAGAAACACGGGGTCTTACTATATTGCCCAGGCTGATCTCAAACCCCTGGCCTCATGTGATCCTCCTGCCACGGCCTCACGTAGCATGGAGATCACAGGCGTGAGCCACTGTCCCAAGTGTTGAAAAGCATGTGCTTTGAACGAAGAGACTCCTCAAACAGGCTTTGTGTGAGCAACATGGCTCTTGATTCACCTGGGTGCAGGTCGGCTAAGGCCGAAAAGGGTGTCAGCCAAGGGCAGTGGGATGAGTTGGTTTTGTAGGTTTGGGGTGGGCAGTGGAAAGTTACAGAGTAAGATCAGTTACAGTGGTGGGGTAGGGGCAGGGATTGTACATGACCGTAAGTTCAGTTACAATGGTGGGTGGGGTAAGAGCAGTTAACATGGCAGGTGGGGCGAGGAGTCACATTATCATAGTAACAGGAGGGCGGGGTAGGGTGAGGGGCTTGTCCGGGAAACCTCTGCTGGGCAAGCTCCCATGGGGTGATTAGGGACGATGGTGAATGCAGGTGGGGGGCGCTCAGCAAGGTGAGCAGGACTTCAGACTTAGCCTCCAGGCTTGCTCATGGAGACCTGACACCAGCCCCAGACTAGCTATTAGGACTGATCTCCCAGAGCCCTTGGCAGAGGCCACTCACTGCGCTTCCTTTTCTGTGATTCCGAGAAGGCTGGTGAGTTTCCCGCTCTTGCCTGTGCGGCCCCCTCCCGCCAGGTTTGGGGAGGGGTGTAACCTAGATCATGGCTGCACCGAATGAGGGGCGGGTCAGGAGCCAGCAGGGAAGCCCTGAGCGCTGGCAGGTCCCCACCCCCCTCTGCTGTCTGTGTCCTCGTCTACAACATGGGGGTGCGTGGTCCTGGGGAGGAGCGAGGCCCCCCTGGCCCCTGACCAGCTGTGTCTCTCCAGAGCAGGACAGGCTGCTCTGGCTTGGGACTCCTAGGCAGGACCACCGTCCTCCGGTCTCCAGAATGAAGACCTTGCTGGTGCTGCTGGCTGCCCTTCTGGGTGTTGAGCGAGGTGAGGTACCCTCGGGGACCCCAGACCTTTGTCCGGCTGTGCCCTGCTCAGCTCCCTCTCCTCCCTTCTCCCCTGAGCAGACACCCCAGGGGTCCTTCCACACCACTCCCAGCAGGCTCACCCACCTGGCCACACTGTCTCACTGGGTTTTCGTGTCACTGGAGCTGCTCCAGGGCCAGAAAGGGTGTCACTGTCCTTGCTCTGTCTCTAGCCTGGGGCCTGGTATACAGTAATTTCTCAGTAAATGTCCACTGGGGTCAGGCCTTGGAGGGACCCTGGAGGCGTCCCTCAGACAGGTGTGTCCCTCCACAGCCGGCTCGCTGATGTGCTTCACCTGCCTGAACCAGAAGAGCAATCTGTACTGCCTGAAGCCCACCATCTGCTCCGACCAGGACAACTACTGCCTGACGGTGACCGCGTCCGCCGGCATCGGTGAGTGCCAGGCCGCCTCCCTCCCCACCGTACCCACAGATGCCATGGCTGCTGCCTGCGGCCACCTGCCTCCCCTCACAACCTCTCTTCCGTTGCAGGAAAGATCGTCACATTTGGCCACACCCTGAGCAAGTCCTGTTCCCCGGCCTGTCCCCTCCCGGGAAACATCAATGCTGGTATAGCTTCCATGGGCATCCGCTGCTGCCAGGGTTTCCTGTGCAATTTCAGCGCGGCCGACGGCGGGCTGCGGGCCAGCGCCACCCTGCTGGGTGCCGGACTGCTGCTGAGCCTGTTGCCTGCCCTGCTGCGCTTCGGCCCCTGACCACCCAGAGCCTGCGCCCGGCCCCCTAGCTCAGGAAGGAAAGCCCAGCCCTCTCTGGATCCCACAAGGGTGTGAGAGCCCCTGACTCTACATGTGCCTGATTCGTGCCCTTGGTCCCAGGTCAGGCCCACCCCCTGCACCTCCACCTGCCCCAGCCCTGCCTCTGCCCCAGGTAGGGCCACCTGCCCTCACTTCTGGGGTCGATGATGCGACCTTCCTTGGGGGACTGTGGAAGGGATGAGGGTCCCCTGGAGTCTTAGGGTCCGGCATCAGGACCAAGTCCTGTGGACACACTGAGAGGGCCCCCAGTAGGGATGTGTGCCTGTGGGTGTATGTGGGTGTGCTGTGCAGGTGTGAACATGTGGCAGTTGCTGGGGCCTGTGTTTGGGGAGGGAGGGGTGCCAGCAGCCTGCAGAGCCCCAGTCCCCTATAACCCCCTGCCCTGGCACAGTCCCCCGCCCTTCAAGGGCAGCCTTTTGGGGGTGGGGTTTCTGCCACTTCTAGGTCTAGGCCTCTGCCCCAAATCCAGCCAGCCCTGCCCCAGCCCAGCCCCACATTGGAGTCCTGCTGCTTTGGTGCCTCAAATAAATACACATGTCCCCCCCTTCCTGCTCTGTGTGTGTGGCTATCCTTAGCGGGACAGACTATCAGGGGTCCTGGTGTCTTCTGTGGTACAGCCCAGGAGGTGGGGGGGGAGAAGCAGGAGCCCCCTGAGCCACAGCCAGCTACTTGCCTGGCTCGGAGAAAGCCCCTCCCCTGTGCTCTCCCCGTTCTCAGCAGGTCAAGTGAGTTCAGCAGCGGAAGGAGGTTGGAGGCATGGAGAAGGGAAAGCGGGTGCAGGAAGGAGCACGCTCAGGCCGGGGCAGCACCCAGGGCTCTGGGACTTGAGAACGGAGGGTGTCTGTGTGGACCCACTGGTGCAGAGGGCACAAAAGCCCGGCTGGGGCAGGACCGGACGGGCCGGGGCTTAGTGAGTGGCCTGTGGGAGGGGCAGGGGCGCCCACGCAGAAGCCGTGCCTGGGACTGCAGCGCTGCCCGCTTCCCCCTGGCAGACACCGTGGTGGCTCCTGACGAAGGAAGCCGGCCTGGCCACCAGTGCCATCTGCAGTTGGGTGCTGTGCGCATCCCAGGGGCTCCTGGGGCTGGGAGGGAAAATGAACAGGCACCAAATGGCAGTACATTTGTTCATTTCTCTGGGACAGTGTGGGGAGCAGCCGGGGCCTCAGCCACTCAGCTCCAACCCTGGTTGTCCCCAGCTGGCCGGAGGCTGTGGTGTGTGTCAGGATCCCAGGGTCACCATCCCACAGTGGGGGCCGGTCGCCCCTGTGGAGGCTCACGATTCCCAGCCCCGGCAGCTGATATGAACAGCCATGTCCTCCTGGGTCCTGAGGTCATGATTCGTGTCTGAAACATGAATCATTATAGCCACCCAAGAGGGCCATGAGGCGCCCATTGTGACCGAGCTGGAGGGCCTGGAAGGGATCAGTGCGAGGAGGGCCCAGCCACAGATCAGTCCTCCCTGGGGAAGAGCAGCCTCTGAGACTGAGCCAGAGATTCTGCAGGGAGTTGGGATTCGCCGAGTGGGTCAGCCTGAGAAATGCAAGCAGAGAACAGGGTGGAAAGCAGAAGTCCAGGCGCCCTGGGCACTGTAGCCAGGAGGACAGAGGTCCCGGCGTTCGGGTCCCAGTGCGCAGCGCACTCATGGCGTGGTCCGCCCAGAATCGCAGGTGGCTTTGCTGGAGGGAAAGAAGCCAGTCCATCACAGTGGGGCTGGCAGGAGGAAGCTGCCCCCAAAAACCATGGCCAGAAACCTGGATCTGACCCAGGGACACAGGAGTGTCGTGGGCGCTGGGCAATGACAGAATTTCCAAAAATGCTTGGTTTCTGCTAAAGCTAGTTTGCGCTTCCATCTCTGGGCACCTCCACTTCCCCGGTGAGCTCACAGGTTTCTAAGTCTCACAACCACACTGAGAGCAGGGCGCAGGCACCCCACGTTTCCCAAGGGGAGACAGGATCAGAGGGCCTCCTGGGATCTGGGACTGGGCCCAGCACTCCCTCTGCCCTGGGTTTAGGGCTGAGGTCAGAGGCAGCCCTGATCGCCCTGGGGTGGTGGGGAGAATGGTCCTGCGGGGTTCCTGCAGCCCAGGGACAGGTGATTTCACTGAGCAGAAGGTGGAGCCTGCCTTGTGCCCTGGGCCTGGGGCAGAGAGGGAGGAGCCCAGCTTGCTGAGTTTCAATTTCCCGAAGCCTGGGGGAGGGAGACTGGGTGGTGGGAGGTGCTGTGGTGAGGCCTGCAGGGGAGGGGAGAAAGGAAGGAGAGGGAGAGCGGGGAGAGGAAGAGAGGCCCATCTCAGGGCCCTGGATCTGAGCCTCCCCCCCAGGGATTTCCCACGCACCCCCAGAGCTGGATGCAGCCTCATCCGGGCCGCCGCTCAGTCCCTGTGGGGACTCTGGGCAGTGAGGCCAGGCAGGACCCTGTGCCATCCACTGCGTCTGCCCCTTTGACAACACCCACTCTTCGGTGCCTCACACAGGCGGCCAGCCTGTAGGCCCCGGACCCTCTCACGCTGTCCACAGTCATGGAAACCCAGCAGCCACGCCAGGCCTGGGCCCACGGTGCCTCCACCCCTCCGCTCCCTCCATCAACCCCCAGCACGTCTTCCTGGGGGGCCCAGCCCCGAGTTCGAGACCCTCCAGGCTGCTCCTAGACCTTGGGCTGGGGCTGAGCCTGATCCTGGCTGGAAATGAGCTCAGGCTGGGCCGCCTGGGGAAGGCCCTCCCGTCTCTGAATGCCACCCTGGGGAATTTGCTGGGACTCCTTGAAGGCCACAGGCCAGACCCCGCGAGGGTTAAGAACAGGACAAAGTCTCCGGACTGAGCATGTGCATTTTCTGTCCGGGCCAGCAGGCAGCTGGCTTCGGGGTGAGGGGGTCTCTGGGCTGTAGGGTGGCCAGGCAGGGGCATGGGTGGGGGGGGAGCTGAGGGCTGTGCTGGGCAACCACCCTGCCCTCCTCTAATTTACCCACCAGGGGCAGTGTCAGGTGGGCTGGGCTCACAGCAGGGCCCAGAGGAGGGCGCCCAGGCTAAGCAGGAGCCCCCTCGCAGCCAGGCCCCAGAGGCCAGGCGGAACTTGGGCAGCCTTATTAGAGAGGCTTCCTTCACAGCAGGGCATTTTTATCTTTTCCATCTTCAAGTTAATCTGTCATCCATCCTCAGTTTCTATGGGGTAAGACTCTCCAGGGACCCCAGGACTGGCAAATTTCATAACATGGACACAGGGAGCGCCACAGCCCTTGGTAATGTAGCTGAACTTCTGCCCTGTGGGCAAGAGAGGAGGGCGTCTGGCACAGGAGGCCTCGCCGACCCCCGGGACCTGCCGAGGACCGCCTCCTTCAGGGAATCTGGAAGCCAGTGGGGACACGGAGAGAACCAGAGAACGGGCCACGGCCCCCCGGCCACGCCAAGCCTGCGTTCCATCAGATGGAGGTCCCGGAGCTCTGTCCCCAGACTCAAGCTTCCACCAGACCAGGGGCCTCAAGGTTGGCTGAGAGCGCCCTGCCCACCCCCACCTGCCCCTGCCCCGGGCCTCACCATTGATAGTGCCAGTGGCTACAGCAGAGGGACAGCTTCCAGCCTGCAAGGGCGGCACTGGCTGGGATCCAGGACGTTGACACACTGGAAGCACTCGAGACCCTGGCCTGGGGTGGGGCAGGGAGGGCGCAGGTCAGGGTCGGAGGCTGAAGGGTGGGTTCCAGTCCCTCTTACCCTCTTACCAGCATGGGCAGCACACGGGGCAGGGGGCTCAGGCACCCTTGGCCACTCAGAATTGTGGGCAGGGTCCTGCTGGCATCTGGAGCCCCCAGCATCGAGAGGGTCTCACGCCTATCTTTAGGCCTCCTTCCCAACCTCCCCGTCAGCCCCCGACTCACTGGGCTTCACCCACAGCAGTACCAGCAGCAGCAGCATGGGGCCGGCGACCTCCATGGTATTGGGTGCAGGTGCACTGAGGGCCGGTGCGGCGCGGAGGCTCTGAGCCTGGAGAGAGCCAGGGGACGCCTCACACTTCCAAGCCCGTGTCCAGTTTTTAATAAGGAGCCCGATTGCTTGGAACGTGCACATAGACTATGACCTCATTCCATCATCTCACAGCACGTGATCGGAGGGGTAGCAAACCTTCCTTCCTGACACGGCTGCTCTGGAAGCCAGATGTGACCTGGGGCAAGACCAAGACCCCCCACCCCTAACCACCGCATCTCTGCCTGGGGCCTCTCAGAGCAGAACAGACCTGGAGGGAGGAGGGGCTGCGATGAAGAAGGGAGGGGAGGGTGGCCCCTGGAGTCGGAGGATGGCATAAAAAGAGAAATTCAGAGGCCGGCGCGGTGGCTCACACCTGTAATCCCAGCACTTTGGGAGGCCAAGGCTGGTGGATCACCCGAGGCCAGGTGCGGGAGGCCTGGCTGACCAACATGGAGAAATCCCATCTCTACTAAAAAAAAAAAAAAACAAAAAAAAAACTTAGCTGGGCACGTGCCACATGCCTGTAATCCCAGCTACTCCGGAGGCTGAGGCAGAGAATCACTTGAACCCGGGAGGCAGACGTTGCAGTGAACCGAGATGGCACCATTGAACTCCAGCCTGAGCAACAAGAGTAAAATTCCCATCTCCAAAAAAAACCAAGACAATTCCTGACTCATTAGAGACCAAGGCCCTGAGCTTCAGTTTCAGTTTCAGTTTCCTGGTGCATCAGGGTGTGGGAAGCAGAAAAGAAAAGCAGCCCCGTGAGATCAGGTCATGCCCAGGGCCAGGCCCCTCCATCTCAGGATGAGGGTCTCCAGCTGAGCCCCCGCAGACAGCCCACTGTGCAACAGAGCCCGGGAGGGGCCAGGCGGGGCAGCAGGCTCTGACTCTGAGACCTGGGGCCAGGCACCCCTTGTTTTCTGTGCAAGGAGCAGGGGCCCCTGTAACAGGGTGGGGTGACATGGGGGCTCCCTGAGGAGGCCCAGACCTCGGTCCTGGCTGCTCCCAGAGCCACCCTGTCCCTCCCAGTCAGTGCCCCTGCCCATCCCCATCACACCCACATCCAAATGTCTTCTTCAGGGAGAATCAGAAGACACAGGAAATGGGGCAGGGGTGACTGCCCTCCCTCCCCCAGGTGCTAGGCAGAAGGAAGAGCGGGCGGCCTGGGAGGTGGGGACAGAGCCCTTGATGAAGACAGATAAAGGCGGCAGACCTGCATGTGGATGGGTCGCCTCTCTGGTGGGTGGTCCCCTCCAAAAAGCAGAATCCACACTGTGCCCTCAGGGTTCTCTGCTTGGAGACTCTGTGGCTTCTGAGAGGATGGGCCAGACAGAGTGGCTCCTGAGAGCAGAGCTGGAGGCATCAGGCACTGAAGACCCCCAATGAGCCGGGATGGCCGTGGGCAAGGCTCGGGCCCCAGAGAACTGACTGCCCGGCCAAGCAGTGATGGGAGCACGGGTCCAACCTGAAGGGGCAGCGCCAGCAGGGCCCGTGGGCCGAGGGTCACTCTGCCGGCCGGGCAGCCACACTGCTCAGGTCCCGTGGCCTGATGGTGGCTGAGCCAGACGTCGTAACACCAAGCCACG